GACGGCCTTATCGCGGACGAGGTAACCGCGTAAGCTAGGGTTAAACCTATTAACTATAGGCTATCCCGCTATAGCCCGAATCCTTAGATAGGTCTTACTATCTAGATTATCTCCTTCCTATACCCTATATAACCCTTTATACTCTTTAATATTATAAAGACCGCCCGGCTTATCGATAAGAAACCCCCTATCTCCTACTATAACCTAAGATATTAGGGGTACTACTTCCCCCTAAGATATACGAAAGTCCCTTAGTATAACCGCTATAGGAAACGTATAGACGAATATAAAGGGCTCTAGGGCCCGAGCTATACTAACGACCCTCGGTACGCGAATTACTATAGCCCCTATCTAGCGGGCTATAAACTCTACCTAGCTATACCTAAGAGGAGGAATAGGACTCTTATATACCCCTCTAAAAGGGAACTAGAAAACCTCTATAGATATAGAGACCGCTACTATAGGGACGCCTACGCTAGGGAATAGATCTAGACTAACGAGGAAGGAAATAGCCTACCTCTAGATACTACCGCCGCCCTAAAAAAGCGACCTACCCTAGGAGGGGTAGCTAAGGATAATAACTAATAGTAAATAGTAGCTAGTAACCGTTAGCGACGTAGTACTATATATAGCGGTAGTCTTAACGAAATATTACTCCGTAATAAGGCCTTATAGGGCCCCGAGCCCTCCCCCTTAGCGGAGATAGACGAAACCGACGACTTCTATACCTAATATTAGGATACCTACGAAGGGACCGCGGCTACCGCCGCTATAAGCCGCCTAGTAAAGACCTTACGGTCTACTAGGCGAACGTAAGGAAGTTACCCCCCTACTATACTACCCTTCTCTACCTAGCCTTCGAGGCTAGGTACGACGTTATCTATATCTAAGAACCCTATATCTTCCTAGGTATAAAGATATCTAACTACCTAGGCTATAACTACTACTTACTAATAGACTCGTAGGACTTAACGTCCCCCTAAGATAGGGAGATAGAGCGCCCTAGAGTTATAATATATATCCGAAAGAACGCTAACGTCCTAGCCTAATAATACCGGCCTATAACGAGTAGAGACCTACTATAGGTTAGCGTTAATAGGATAGGAATACTTAACGCCTACCGCTAGCCTACTACGATAGAAGTTATTAACTACGTTACTAATCTTAACCTAGGCCCTAGATACCTTATAGGGAGGGACCTAAACGCTTAGTACGATACTTTCGAGCTAGGGGTTACTAATATATACTAGGGTAGTGAGATCGCGTAGTAGTTAGCTATCTTAGGGATAGACTTTATCGGGGAACCGGGGGTCCTAATATACGACGTAGGATATATCCTAGACCTTACCTTCTTAAATATTACCTTCGTATAGTCGGAAGTCCGAGAGGACCTATACTATAGCTCCGACTACGAAACCTAGGTTACTACGATTCCTAGCCTAGATAGACCTACGCCTAAGAATATATATAAAAGGGTCCTCGATAAGGACCTACCCCGCTTCGCCGGCCTTATCTAGTTAGGACTAGCGAAGATACCCGATATCTAAGGACTCGAAGAGCCGGGATAGCTCGACGAGGCTATTAGCCTACTTACTACTATCTTCTCCGAGGCGGCGGAGACCGCCGGCCGCTACCTAATAGAGGGAAAGTCTATACCCTAGTAGACGGAGGAATATAAGGAAGTGTATAAAGCCTAGAAGGCTACTAAAAGAGTAGGCGACTAACCCTCTACCCGTTAACGAGAGGCCTTTAAGGCTACCGTACGCCGAGCTAAAAGAGCCTACTAGAAATCCCTTATTAATAGAGTCGAGACTAATAAGGACCTCTATAAGATTATATCCTAGTATAAGCTAGCGCTAAACCTAAAGGCTCTATCCTTTATAGTTAACGGCCGTAGGGTAGAGGATACTATAGATAAAGCCGAGGCCCTTAAAGAAGTAGTCTTAGGGCGCTTCTTAGAGTCCGACGACCTTAAAGCCGACCTACTAGAACACTAGATAGGCGACGAATACCTCTTATAGGATATACGCGTAACTATAAAGGAGGTCGAGGCTAATACTATCGGGGTAGCCTCTACCTCGCCCGGTACCGACGGAGTTACTATATAGCTATTAAAGGCCTACTAAGTACTAGTCTAGTATATAGTCTATATAATCTTTAATAAGTGCCTACTCCTCGGCTACTACCCCGCCCTATAGAAGGCTATAAAAGTAGCTATACTACCTAAAGTAAGAAAGAAAGATAAGACCTTAGTTCGGTCCTAAAGACCGATCGCGCTATTATCCTATATTACGAAAAGCCTAGACTATATCGTCGCTAAATATATCGCCTAGATAGTCCTTACCTATAAAGTCCTTAGCCTATAATACGGGGGCGCCCTCCTTAGAAGATCGACTATAGACCTAGTTACGGCCTTTATATACGACGTAGAACTAGCCTTAGTAAGCGGTAAAGCTATTACGATAGTTATAATAGATATCTAGGGAGCCTTCGACGCCCTACTAAAATAGCGGCTCCTTAAAAAGATAGCCTAATAGGGCTAGTCTAAGGTATTAGTACGTCTTATCGACTACTTCCTTACTAACCGAACGGCGAGAGTAAGACTAAAGAAGGCTACTACGCCTAGCTATCTAGTAGCGTATAGTATATTATAGGGCTCCTTCCTCTCGCCTATACTCTTCCTCCTATATATAGTAGAACTACTCCTATAGGATATAAGCCTCCGCTTCGGCTACGCCGACGATATAGCTCTATATAGGGTATCTAACTCGCTCGAGACAAACTACTAGACCCTAGCTTACGATATACGCTTAATACTAGTATAGGGAGTAACGAATAAAGTAGCCTTTATACCTAAAAAGCTCGAAATAATATATATTACTAAGAAGTATAGGGACGAAGCCCTAACGATCTATATTAACGAGGACCTTATAATCTACCCTATTACCTCTACCGATAAAGCCGGATAATAGCTAGCCCTCCGGTAGCTTAGGGTATATTTCGATAGACGTCTTACCTAGCGGCGGTATATAGCGGTACGCGTAGTAAAGGCGAGAGCGGTCGCCTAATATATCCGCGGGCTTATCTATACCGTAGACGGCCCGCCGGCGTCCTCTCTATAGAAGGTAGTAACTACCTATATCCTCCCCTCCCTCCTCTATAGGACGGAGGCCTAGTATAGGGGCTAAATAAAGCCGGTAAGATACCTTAGTTAGGGGGAGGTTAGTACCCGCCTTAGCTAGTACGTTAGCCTAATCGATAGTACTCTCGCACTATCTCTTAGGGAAGTCCTACCGGTATAAAGGATTATACCTACCGCGACCCTCTTCTAGGACGCGGGTATCCTATCTACTATAGCGGCACTAGAGGAAGCTAAACTCTAGTTCTTACTATAGCTTAGGACTACCGACGAAACCTACCTACTTACCTACCGGATAGACCCTCCCCTAATTATAAAGGGACGTAGTACTAATACTACCTAGGCCCGGAAAACGAAGGTCTAACGCCTAGGATATCTCCTATCCTAGATCCCCCGCCCGGTCCTTTACGGGCTATACTATACCCTAGGTTACCGCGTAGACCCTATAGATTACGCCGATAAGGATACCGCGGCTAATAACTTTAAGGAGTAGTAGGGAACCCTACCCGCGATAGATATTATAGTCTTTACTAACGGATCGGAATAATACCTAAAGGGTATCCGATACGTCGGCTACGGATACGCTATCTACTTAGACGGGACTAAGGTCGCCGACGGGTATAGCGCTATATATAGCTAATCCTATATCTTCGATACCGAAGCGATCGGAGCGTAGAAGGGCCTAGAGAAAGTAATAGAGATCCTACCTATAGGTAAGATCTAGCTATATATTAATAGTACCTCGGTTATTTAGGGCCTATAGGGTAACGCCCCGCCTACCTTATAGTAGGCCTTCCTATTATACTATAAGGCTATATCGCGACGCGATATTACTATACGCTAGTCTCCCGGATATACGGGTATTAAGGGTAATAAGGCCGCTAATAAACTCGCTAACTACGGAGCCTAGTATAGGCCCTAGGGCCTAGGCCCTAAGGCCTAGCCTATAATTAGCGGTATCCGGTCTATATACTAGGCCCTATAGAACGAAGCCCGCTACGACTAATAGTATAAAGCCTCCTCGAAGCTATCCGCCTAGTATTAGCGATAAGGCGGACTATATAAGATTAAGGACCTTCTAGAAATTAACCTTAGGCGGCCTATCCTCTATCGCTAGCTAGTACTAAGGTCCTCGTACGGGGATTTCTACTAGTACTACCGGAAGTTCCGGTATAAAGACGCTAAACTTACCTACTCCTACGGGCGAGTTAAAACCCTAGAATATATCGCGATCTATATAAGGGTATACCGTACCTTCTAAGACTAGCCTAATAAGCCCCTACTCCCTCCTACCTATAAGGAGGAGGTAGTCACGTACCTTAAGGGACTCGGCCCTTCCGAGTTTAGCGAGCTACTCTATATTACTAGCTTCTACACTAGGATCTATACCTAGTAGCGAGTAGTCATACTAATAAAACCCTACCCCTCGGGCCTAATAAGCCCTCCTACTCTCACTATACCCTCTCCTATATCTCACTCACCTACCCTCGTCACTCCCTACTAGCACCTAACACCCACGAACCTCTAGGCATCCGGGCGCGAACGGATAGGGGTCGTACCCCTAAGCCGCCGCCCTAGGACCCACTATACACGTAATAAAAGAGCTTAGCTCGTACCCACCCGGTAGGAAACCCTACTATCGATAGACCCCTATACCTATCTTAACCGGCGGAGAAGGACGAGTAGCTAACTAGAGCCGCACGGGCTTATCATATAAGAAGGAGTTGCTTTCTATAGGCGCACAGATATGTACTTAATTCTATAGCTTAGCACGTCCTAATACCCTAAGGGAGGTAGCAGGACCACGAGCTACGCTCGCGGTCCGCCGGACGTTAATTAATACAACAACAACAATAACAACAACGACTACGCCGTGATGGGTGGCGCCGCTACCTATTTGTTAAGTCCGGATCCGAGTCGAAGGACTGAAGACGTTGATCTAGTCATTCATGTTGACCATCGTATGATCACCGCCGATCGCCTTACAGCGCAGCTCTTCACATCCTTCCCGACCGACTTCGAAAGAGTCAGCCAGTTCGGCCACACCATTCCGGCATACAAGCTTCGTCGACCTGGAGTAGCAGCTCAGTTGGTGGAGCTGGAAGTGTTTGACCACAGAACTTGGCCGCAACGTCCCCAGTACAACATCCAGGTAGCTACACGGAGGACACTAAATATCAATGGTCGAGGGGTCAAACTCTTTGGCCCTGAATGGATCCTGCGGGAAAAAATTTTGTCCCAGTATCAGCGCCAAGGTAGTGCCAAAGAAACAACCGATATTCGTGATATTATCAATATGATCCCATTAGCTGTGCGAGGCAGACCAGAGCTCGACTTCAATCAAAACCAGGAGTTACAAACCGCCCTAGCAAATCTTTTGCAAAAGCGACCAGCCTTGGCTCAGACTTTGAAGGCAAAGATCAAATGCAGCACTATTCTCCAAAATTAGTAAGTTATTCTACCAACCTCTTCGAGCTGACTGATAACTGAGCGTTGGAAATCTAAGGCAGGACCCTTCTTCAACCAATCGTCGAGGTCATAGGCTATATATGATAGCCTTTTGAGGCATCAAAAAAAGGCTGCCGATACTACTGAAACGCGCTACCGAAGAACACTGAAAGGACATATATTTACGATTTGACCGAACCTAGGTGAATGTAGTTTGTCTATGTGTGCGGTAGATTATATGAATTGCTATACTAAAATATTTCCCTGGCAAAAATACACCGCGTAGTTATATTTGAATGTGCGCCACTATCAAAGAGGACTACCCCTCATATCTATTGGCATCTCTTTTCCAGAGCCGAGACGTTTTGAAATGCGCCGATCAATGGGACCGAAATTGGCCTCATGGATTCGACCAAAGTTGTGACTATACCAGTCCACTGCTTGTTTATCCGGACACATATCGAGGATATCGTTGTCAACCTCTAGGTACCCTGTCATCAGAGATACCCAAGACCTCAGTGATTCGCCCCACGCAGAAAAGCCAGCGTCTGTTTCTTCTTCGATCGCAGCCTTAACAAAGCTTTCCACTAGTGCCTCTTCCAGTGGATAGTACAGACTGCTATAACTTTGAAACCGCGTTGTCTGCGCTGTATCTCCTATTCTAGTCGAAGAGTGGGGGGTATCTTCTTGGAGAACATGCGCAAAGGAGTTCGGAATCAGGTACACCTGCAAGGCTTTTTCTGCTGGATCACCCTGTGGATAATCAAATACTGCACAAGACCGGTCCAAGCGTTTGTAGCCAGCATTTATGTCCTCCAAAACCTGCTGCGGGTTTGGATGGTCCTCCATGATTTCGGGAGCAGGGGCGCGATTTGGAACACTTCGGTTGAATCCTGCGCTCTCAAGCCTTTCAATAGCGTCTGTGTAGTCATCGTCCCGCACCACAACCATGGGGGCCTACAGTGATAGGAATATCGTTAGCAAGAAAAAGGACGGTTTAAAATTTACTACTCAAGGTACAATTTACCCCAACGGCGATGGGTACTCCCAGATACCACATTGCGAGCGCCCCCCAAGGAATCACAGTGAGAGGTTGAAGTGTTTTGCGAAGTCTCAGGGAGAGCCTATCAGGCTCGGTCTGTCTCGGGCGCCTAAACATATCTGTAGTGGGATAGTGGGAAACCCAATTCTGTCTGGTCTCTCTCGATCGGATGTGATGCTTTCCGCGAAACAAACAATATCATATGATCAAGGAGAGGAGGTAAAGAGGATGGCAGAATCTAAGAGGTTGTGGCGTAGACCAGGTTGAGCAGCCTACGTTCCACTATTGGTCAGGTCAGGTGAGGTCAGGTGATTTTAGACCTCCGCAATGGGCCTGGTTGGGCCCGGACCTCAGGCCCATAGCCCAACCAGCAGTGGGCTATAGGCCCTACCTTCGAAGCCTAACCAAGCCTATGGCCCATTATAGGGGCCTTATAGGCCCCTATTAAAGCCTATTTATATATATAAATAGGGGATTGTTAATCTGACTATCCCTACTCCTAATCTGACTACCCCTGCCTGAATCTTCAGGTATTGATGCCTAATAGTGCCTGAACAATCATATGACTTCTGAACATATTTTTTTCTGCCACTTAAATATCATGTGACCCCTCATTTTCTGCCACCTAAATTTCTAGATCATAGAATTCGAGTTTATGTAGTGAAAGATACACCTTTTATATCGGAAAACGCGCTGATTTCTGAAGTAATAATGCCTATTGAGTGATTAACCTCGCCTCTTTACTTCCCTTTTAGGAATTTAGGTGCCTAAAACTCTTAGGCATCAAGCTTATAGTTCTATGATTTTAGTACAAAGGCGGCGAGAAAGGCGGTTAGGGAGAGTTTAAAGAACCCTAGAAAATCAGTCATCAATCAGGCATCAACTAGGTACCCAGCCTGAAAATTCAGGCAGGGGTAGTCAGATTAGGAGTAGGGATAGTCAGATTAACAATCCCCTATAAATATAGTCTTAGCGCCGGCCCTAATCTAGATTCTAGCCTAATATAGGGGTTTAATGTTAAGGTAACTGTTTGTCAAGGCAGTAGTTATTGACTAGGTGTGATAGATAGGACCAGACTCTACGCTACAAAGAGAGAGAGAGACTGGAAATCCTATATTCGTCTGCAGAAGAGAAGAAGGGAAGGAAACTATCTAGGAGAAGGAGCTTCTTATAGCACGGCGAGGAAGGAGGAGTCACCTAACTCCAAATACCCCCTATAAGCCATGCGAAGAAGCTGAAAAACCCCCTATAAGCTAATAAACCCCCTATAAACTCTTAGGATTAAAACTAGTCTTTTTCTTTCTAAACGTAGTAATAAAGAACCTCCTAGGTTAGCTTATATAAATAGCTTTTTCCTATTAGCTAAACCTAGCTAACTAATCTAGCGTTAAAATATGACTTTTATAAGAGGCTTCGTTAGACTATCTATAGTTATCTTCGCTATAGGAATCTTCTTAAAATTAATTCTTCCTATATTAACTTCTTTATAGAGCTTATAATATCTTACCCTAATATACTTAGTATTAGTATAGAATTCCGGATTACTAGTTAGTGTAATTATACTATTATTATTTATATATATAGGAATAGGGTTTTTAATAAGACTTTTAATACCTAGTTCTATTAAAAGCTATAATAGCTAGATTACTTCTTAAACTATAAGAGCTTCTACGATATACTTACTTTTAGTACTAGAAAGCGCGATATAGGCTTACTTTTTTAAGATCTATTATTACGAGCCAGATCTTTTAAAGAAAGAGTGTAATTCAACGAAAATACTAAGACAGAGAAAGAAAGGAAAAGAGGAAAAGGAAAACTCACTATCGCCGAGTTTTAGAGAGTCTTCGAGTTATAAACCTTATAAACCTCGGACCTACTCTACGATAGCTATAGTTACGTAACTTAGTTTCTTATCTACGATCGTTATATACACCCTATCTAAATTACATTTAGTCCCTAAATACTAGCTTATCGTTATCTTCGTGATCTTATAATAACTTCTCGCTTTCTATAGCTTTAATCTAGTAGTATAGACGTACTAGGGGTCCGGGCTTTATAGGATATTTTTTATAGAATTCCTTAACCTTTTCCGGTACGTTTTTTAGATTACCTACTAGATACTACTATAGGTCTATATTATATCCTACCTACTCTACTCGGTACTAAAGCTTCCTATAATACGTATAAGTATCTAAGATCTTACTAACTTCCTATTCGTTAGTTTTATTTATCGTAATAGGTAGTATTAGATCTTTATATTATCTTTATAGTAGCTTAGTTTTCGACGCTTTACGTAGTTTACTAGGATAGAAAATAGGGTATATCTTTATTAATCCTAGAAGATCTAACTTATATAAATTCCTAACCTTCTCTATAATTATATATAGTCTACTTATAGAGTAAGATAACTTCCGACTTAGTCTATTAGGTAACTAATCCTTTATTATAATAAAAACTTAATCTCTTACCCCGAAATCCTCTTCCTAACGATATTTATTTACTTATTAGATCTAGAGTTTCTAGGACTTATTAATCTACTCCTTTATCTTAGACTATATATCTTATAGTTATAAAAGTATATCTACTATACCTCGTTTATTAGCGGAGATATACTTAGGATCTTTCTAGTTAAAGGTTATTATAGGCTTATACCCCCTCTCTATAAAGAAAGAAGATTTCTTAGTAGTATCTTATAGTAGAATAGACGCTATAAAGTGTGACGATCGTAGATAAGAAACTAAGTCATATGACTATAGCTATCGTAGAGTAGGTCTAAGGTTTATAAGGTTTATAACTCGAAGACTCTCTAAAACTCAGTGATAGTAAGTTTTCCTTTTTCTCTTTTCCTTTCTTTCTCTATCTTAGTATTTTCGTTAAATTATACTCTTTCTTTAAAAGATCTAGCTTATAATATAATACTAAGACTACTCTTTAAATTTTATAAGACGGTATAGCTATATAGATTATTATTATAATTAATCCTAGCTCCGCCTTATCCTTACTTTTCGTCTTTTAGTACTAACCTTTAATCCTAATTAGATCCTAAATCCTAACCGAAAACTAGATCTACTTATTAAGATAGTAGGTACCTAACGAACCGAAGATTATAGTAAGTAACGAGCTACCGTAAATAACTCTAATAAAGAACCCGAGGAGGAGAATATTCCTTAACTAACGATCCTAATTAATAATATAATCCGACTTAAAGATATTAAAGAAGAGAAAGATAATATTAAAGAAGGTTCTTTTATATATATATATCTATAGAGGACTTTTACTAAAGATTACTTTATAGAACTAGCGAAGGTATATAAATAACTCGAAGAGAAGGTTTCTTTCCTCTAAGCCGATAAGATTAACTTAGAGCTCCGCTTAGAATAAATAGTATAAAAATAAAATAAAGCTATTACTTATAGAGATCTTACTATCTATAAATAAGAAGATCTTACTTTCCGCTTTATAAATATATAATAAAGTATACTAACTATAGAGACTTCTATTTATAAAATTACTAAAATACTTAATATTTTAATACTTAATAATAGAAAGAAAATCTAATTTAAGACTTAGGAAACTATTATCTATTAGAAACTAAAAGCTAATATAGATTATTATCTTTTACCTATCTATTATAAACTCTATATATAGAGTCGTTATAAAAGAAAGGCTTAGCTATATATTACTTCTTAGATAAATACTAACTTTATAAACCTTTATACTAATATAAATAATATAATTAACTATTTATAAAGCGTTTTTATAAATCTAAATTAATAAATAGAGGTATATACTATATACTATAAGTTTAAGATAAAGCCTAAGAAGAGTTTTACTAATTTCTTTATAGAATTTATATAGTTAGTAGAGAAAGCTATTATTATTAAAGAAAATAGGAAGCGTAATTTATATTTAAAGCTTTCTTACCTCTTTTAAAGATAAGTTATATAGGTAGTTAACTTAGATAATATACTATTTAAAATCTTTACTTAATATTATTAGAGTATATTATACGAGATTAATCTATAATAGGAAACTAAGTCGAATTAAACTAGAATTTTAACTACCGGAAGTAGAAGTACTATAACTACTATAACTACTTAGTCTTAGGGAACCTATATTAAGCGGGAATTAAATACTATTATAACTAGATTAATATCTATTACTAAATAAGAAATATTAATAAAAAAAGGATAATACTTCTACTATAAAGAGTAAGG